GGAGGGAAGGAGAGAAGGGGATGCTAAAGGCAGGGCAGTGCCCCCAGCGGGGGCAGGGAAGGCGGCAGAGGAGACTCGGGCACCTGGGGGAGGGGGCAATCTGCGTTGGTGCATAGTCAGCCCGGTTCCTGGGTTCCTGCTCCCCTGTCCTCCAGTCTCACCCACCCCAGCACTGGCCTGGCCAGGAGGAGGGAGGGCAGGGCTGGGAGGGCAGGGCTAGGCTCTGCCAAAGGCCCTGGGCAGCTGAGATTCCAGGTGTGACCTGAGGGGCAGCTGTGAGAGGTCAGGGTCCTGCCCTCCCCTCCCTCTTGCCCTCACAACAATGAGGAGGAGGAAGACTTTGCCACATCCTCCTCCCAGGGTGGGGTAGGTGTGCTCTCTGATCCCTGAATCCTCCTCTGGACCCCACTGGCCATGGGCCTCACACTCTTGACCACAGCTGGTATCTGCTTCTCGGCCTCTTAGCTCTGGAACCATGTTCCCCAGGCTTGTTTATTCAGGCTCAGACACCCCACAGGTACCAGGCCCCAGGTGCCTGGAAAGGAATCCATTCCAGTGTGAAATGGAGTATTTCCTTGCATGTTCCCATACACAGAAAAGCGCTAAATTCCTTAATTTGAGATATCTGGTTTTCCTTAATTAACAATAATCTTTTGATATTCAAACTACCTGCCCCTTGTAGCAAGCTTCCGTGACTCCTCCCCAGGCCTCCTGGGAATAGTTTTCTCAGGGTCACTGGAGATGCTGTTTCTGAGGCCTGAAGTCCTAAAAATTCCTACGAAATAAAACAGAACCCTCAATTGCTAGGTTGTGACTATTTCTTCAGTTGACACTGGTTTGGTCAGAGAGGAAGACTTGGACTCTGTGACCAGGCAGGTGAGCAGTGCTTAAAGGAAGCTCAGAGCTTCAGAGGCCCAGAAGGCCCTGACCAGGCGGGGAGGTGGAGTGCCTCAGAGTCCCAGTTCTCCCTTTCCTCAGCTAAAAGATTCTAGGCAAGCCACTTAACATCTAGTGACCTCAGTTTTCTCATCAGTAAAAAGGAGAACCACTGTACTCCACCACTGCCCTTTCCTGTCCAGTTTATACAGAAGAACCACTGTCCAAACTGGACGGGACAAGGGCAGTGAGCAGGAGTTCCCTCATCCTAGGGCTGGGCGTCTGAGGGTTAGAACTTGATGGCACCCAGTACAGCCTGCAAGCTGGCATCCCATCCCCACAGCACATTGCCAGCAAAGTCACCTGCCCGGTGGCCCTCCAGTCCCTGCCTGCCACCCCAACCAGGAGTTTCCAGAGAAGGACAGGGTTTGGCTCTTGTCTGCCTGCAGTCTCTCCCGGTGCTCAGGGTTCTCACTGTGAAGTTTCAAAGTTCAGACTCCCAGCTCTTCCATATAATAAACGATCTCAGGAAAATTACATAACTTCTCAAGGCCTCAGTTTCTTCATCTGTGAAATGGGAACAGTGCCTACTCCATAAAACCATTGCTGAGGATTAAATGAAATCACTACATAAAATGTTTAGCACGGTGACTGAAACATAATAAGTGTCCAAGAAACATTAGCTACTGCTACTAGTATTACTATCAAAAAATAATTTTGTTATTGAATTGGTCCCTTAACTCCACATCCCCCCCCGCGACTCTGACTATCTCAATGGTCTGGGACAGACGTCCTGTGTATGGGACAGAATCTTTCTTCCCCTTCTGAACTACGTTCTAAAGGATGAGACAGAGAAATTCCACGGGAAGGTCACGTGGAAGACCAGCTATGCACTGCCCTCCCTCCCTCCACCGCTGGCCTTCCCTGAACCTGGGGCCATCTGCCTTCAGGGGCTGGGACTGTCCTCCCCAGAACCCTGCTTAGAATCTACAGGTCTGGGGGCCTGACAGTGGGGTTGGGGGGGGGGAGTCTAAGTGGACAAGATGTCCTCTCTGATCAGGGCTGGGGTATTGGTGTTGAGTCCCTGGACTTTGTTGGGAGTGCACTTGTAGGGACTCTCTGAGGGCCTCCCCATATCCTCCAGCTGTTCAAATCCTTGGTGCAGAATCTCTTCCTGAAACAAGAAATGCCCCGCCACGCGGGGTTGTGGAGGGGGAAAAGAGTCCAGCCTGACTGAGACGCAGGACGGCCCAAGGGACTGGATTCTGCTCCTAAGGGAGGGCCTGGTCTGCTTGGCTGGGGTCACACTCTGTGCTAGAGACTGCATTGGCCACTACCCAGGAGAAAGCCCCTCACTGAGAGGAACTGTGGATGGAGCTCAAGGACTGAGCTCAAGGAGTGATGTCAGGCTGGGGGAGGGGAAATCAGATCAAAAGAGGCAAACAAACGCCTGGGTCCTGACCCTGCCTCTACCACTTATTTGCTGTGCTCTTGGGCAAGTTATTTAACCTCTCGGTGCCTCAGTTTATCTATCTGTAGAATGGTCCTTGACTTCTAAGCTTGTTGGGAGGACGAAACTGGTTAACACATGTAATAGTGCCCACAGAGGTGCTGTGTGCATTTGCCGAGGTCATTCTCACTGAAGCTATTACTCAGCTCTCTCTGAGGCTGTTTCTTCCCCTGTGTTACTGGATGATGACCTTTGTCTCACGGAATGATGTAAAGTTAAAAAAAGTAACAAATTTGCAGTGTCAGGCACACCATAGGTATTCAAGTCAAGTAGAGCTCTCTCCATTTCCCTTTCCTCTCCCCAAGAGGGCCCAGATGAGAAGTCGGGTCACTTTGGAACCCCCTTCCTGCCCCACCCCAGCCCAGGGCTTGCTGTGTGATCCTGGTCTGATCTCTGGCCCCTGACCTCAGTCTCCTTATCTATGAAAAAAGCTTCCGGGCCACTTGGATTCCTGACTGTCCATGGCCTCCTTCCCACCTCCATTCCGTCCTTCCTTCTCCATTTCCAATTCATGTCCTACTGCACCCACTCCTTCAGCAACAGAACCCTGGGAACCCTAAAGTGGGGTGGAGGGGACAGCTGGTGGGCAAGAGGTACCTGCCTGCAAGCAGCCCAGTACCCACCCCAGGTCCCCAAGGGTTAAGATCCAGAGTGAAGGGCGGGGGGCCAGGGTCAGTGCTGGACAGACGGGCCTGCAGCCCAGGGCCTGCCTCCCCTCCCCCTATCCTAGGAACAGAGGCCACTTGTTTGAGCATCAGCTGGCTGGCTTTGAGCTCAGCCAAAGGAAGAGTGGGGTGGGGAAGGGAGAGGGCCCCTGGAGAGTGGAGGGGACTCCCTTCTCTCCTAGGGCTTTGTACTGGGCTAGTCCACACCTAGCCCCTTGGACTCTCAGAGGCCCCTTACCCCTCTGAAGTGACTCCTTCCCCCCAGGTTCTCCCTGGGGGTGAGTGTTCTCCTTGGGGGTCAGTGAGTGTCTCCTAAACACCCTTGGTGGAGATGGGGGGTGGATTTAGGCTCAGACAGGCTCAATTCTTGCTCCAGCAATCTCTCTCTTTGGAGCTTAGGGTCAGGTCTTATCACTCAACCCTGCAGATGGGGAAATGGAGAAGTTTGGAACTTGCAGAGTCACACAGTTTGGTGACTGTCCCAGGTCCCAGTCAGTCCTGGGCTCTGCAGTCCCCTTTCTCACAGAGTTCTAAGGAGATCCAGGAGGTCTGATGGGGAGAAAACTTGCCGGGGCGGGAGGGGGCGGGGGCTGGCAGTAGTGGGGAAGACAAGCAACCTGCACAAACAGCTGAGGCTTGACACGTGGAAAGGCATGACTGGAGTTCGAGAGATGGCAGGGGGGGGGGGGTGGGGGTGGTGGGGGTGAGGCTAGGGTTGACTGGAGAGGCTGAATGCCCCCAAGGAAGCCTGGGAGAAATCTGTCCACTTCCACTTCACAGTTGTGAGGACTCTCACCTGGGAACACCCCCTCCTGCCCTACTCCAATGAGCAAGCAGCAAACAGGGAGAGGGGATCCCCAAGGCAGCGTCTGGACCATGCTCAGCCAACCATAGCACTGGGGGACTGGTCCTCTCTACACCCGACCTCTGCCACCCATTCCAGCCACTTCCATCTCCTTGTCATTCCTCAAACACACCACACAAGTTCCTGCCTTTATACAAGCTCTGCCCTCCTCTGAGGGTCCTTATCCTTGTGAATTACCACTTAACTGCCCAGGCCCATTCCAATTATCTCCTCCTCCCTGAGCCTGTGTCTGATTCCACCTCAGTACCTGTCTGCACCTGTATTCTGACTCTGCTGGGCTCCTTCTACCCTGTAATGAGCTTGCTGGGAGGTCTCTCCCAGCCTAGAAACTCTGCTCTCTGAGCACAGGTATTCTGGGTGTCTCTGCCTGGACCTTGCTGCACAGTCAAATCCTTCCCTGAGTACTTTCATACATCTGTCCAACCCTATAGTGCTCTCCCCACCAAGCCTGGGAATCAAAGCAGGCTGCCCGGGACAGAAGCCTTGGGGTAGTGGGGAGCATATACCAGATGCCAACCAGAGCTCCCCAGCACTAAAAATCAGCCCTGGAGATCTGGGACCAGACACCCACCCCAAACCCTCAGGCCGCATTCTGAGTTTGCTTCCTCCAGTCCCAGTAACGCACTCCCGGCTTGACCCCGTTCAATGAACACACACAGCTCCTTCTTTTTCCAGCAACTGGGCCAGGTAGGGGCTCTTGGGAGGGCATGCCCCCATTTACTGGTGGGGAACTGGGGCGCAAACACCGGAAGTCGTCTGCCCAAGATCACTAGAGCCCCAGGTTCAGTGCATAAGGTCATATGAAGCAGCAGACCTGTAAGGGTCTCCGCAGTCAAAGAAGTGGGAGCCTTCATTTCACAGATGAGAAAATCAAGGCACCCGAAAGCGGGTTAGCTATGGCACCTGGGAGGCTTCACGCCAAAGGGCTAAGGGCTGGAAGCCCCCTTTCCCGCCGGTTCGCCCTCCTCCCTACCGTCTCTGGTCCGACCGCATATCCTCAGGAGGCGACTCCATCCCCGCCGCCAGTCAGAACAGAAGACGTGACCTAGAGAAACTCCCGCGGAAGTAGGTGCCGGGCGCAGAGATGCCGCGCAGCCTCGGCGTTCCCTTCCGCGGAATGGGGAAACTCCGGGCCACACCTGGCCAAGAAGCGGCGGACGGGGAGGCCCCGGCTGCCGCACTGACCTGTTCTGATCCAAGACTCCACGCGCGTAGCCGGGGCCCCGGCGCCGCCAACGACACCGTCGTAGTCAACTCGCGGCTGCAGGCCGGGCGCGCCCACCCCGCCGGGCGCTTCCGCCCGCCCCACGTGACGCCCCGGGGAGGGGAGGGCGGGGAAGGAGGCCAGGACCCGCCCCCTTCCCGGCCACGCCCAGTCACGGTCCTGGAGTTCGCCGGCCTTGCGGACACCTTGATCTCTGCGTCTCCCCTGTCCATCTCGCTGCTCACAGATCTACGTCTCCTGAAGCTGAGGTCTGCCTCCACCAGCCCCGCCTTCTGAGTCTCCCATCTCCTCCTGAGCCTCTCCGCCTCCTGCCACCCCTCTCCCTGGGAGGGACAAGTCACAAACCGCCCCACCCCCAGAGCGGTAAGGGGCACTGGGAAGCTGGAAAACCCAAGTTCCTGACCTCTTCCTCCAGGAAATCCTTACCCACTTCATTCTTTGAGAATATCCTACTTCTCTCCCTGGGCCCACATCTCTTAGGAGCAGGGTGGTGGGGAAGATGCAAGTCAGTGTTCAAGGATCCCTTAGTTAAAGGCTGCAGCCTGAGATCCCGGCGGCCAGGCAGCTTCCCTAGCCTAGAGAATGAGGGCCTGGGGTTTGACAGGCATTCCCAGGTCCTGGTCCAGGGCTGAGATTGGATGTCATTAATTTGAGCACCTACTACATGCCAAGCCCAAGGCTGGGAAACTTTTTTCTTCTATCTCAATCTGCCTGAAGGTAAAAACTATTACCCCAGGTCATAGATTAGCAAACTAGGCTCCAAAGAAGCTCCAGGGCTTGCCCAAAGATACAAAGCCAGTATTGGGTAAACCGGCCAAGTCTTAGTGAGTTACAGAATCTCCTGCCTACCCTTACTGGATATTCACCCTGCCCTTCCAGGAAAAAGTGGACTCCAAGTGTCTTCCTGACAAGGCAAAGGTAGGTCGTTTCCCGGGAGAGTGCAGAGCCAGATCTTGGGGAGAACTTCTGGCCCCAAATTCATATGGGGTACAAAAACACTGGAGAGGGGTGGAGCACAGGGCCCTCCTCCTGACCTGAGAGCAGAGGTGACCCTCAGGCAGCAGAGGGCACCTGTAGGCTACAGAGAACAGGAGAGGCCCAGGCATCCCTCTAGACTTCAAAGCTGCCGTGGGGAACACAGGACCAGGGGACTGGCATCTTGGCAAGGGGTTGGAGGCCCCACCTTCTCTGTTAGCACAGGTCTGAGGTAGAAAGGACTCAATTCACAGGGCCTGGTCCCTTCACTACACTGGAGTCTGATGATATTCCCCTCAAACCCCAAACTTCCTCCAGAGAATGCTGCCCCAACCTAAGCTCTGGGCCTACAGCCCTGTGGTCTGAGATTCAAGGACCTCTGCCCCTCCTTCTGTCACAACAGGCACGTGTCAGACCCCCAGTCCTTAGGTTGGACCCAGGGAGCCCTAGGCTGCAGGTCTTACAATAGAACCCCATTCTCTGACCCTGACCAAACCTGCTTCTTCTCTTAGAGCAGTGAAAGGTAACCTAAGAGCCTGAGTGAATGGCAGGATGAACACACGACAAGGACAGGTGGATGAATGAAGAGTAAACTAATGAATGAACACAAGGCGAATGAACACACCACGGACAGGAGAGTTGACGACCACCCCCGCTTCACATGGGGATGTCTAAAGGAGCAAAAGCCCGTGATCAATAATAAAATTAACAAAATGAACTGTAGAACCAAGGGGCCTAGGGCGGTGCCCGTGCCCGAGCAAGTGGGAAGCAGGCACAGTGATGAGCCAGATGAGGCTGTGGGATCGTTTATTGGGGCTGTGTCCAGCCAGGCCGCAGCGCCAGCCTGGGCCCGAGCCCAGCGTCCCCAGGAGGCGCAGGAGGCGGGGGAGGGGAGAAAGCGGGGGAGGATCCGCCGCCTCTGGGCTCGGCCCCATCGTATCGCGGTCCCTGCCGTGGTGCAGCGCTCAGGTGAGCGAAGTGTCGTCATCGCTGCCCTCGCCGCCCGCGCTGCCTGTGCGATCCTCCCGGCTCTCTGCCACCGAGCTCTCGTCGATGTTCTCCAGCGAGTCCGCGTGTTGCACCGACAGCTCCGACAGCGCAAGGCTCGGCAACGAGCTCTGCTCCGGGTGTAGCCACGGTTTGAAGTGTGGTTGATGCTTCTGCTTCCACTCAGGGTATTTGACGCACGCCTTGTACATCTTCTTCATGGCCTGCGGACCGGTTGTACCGCCGGATAAGGGGTGAGCTGGGAGCAGGACTAGGCCTTCACCCCATCTGCTCCCACGCCCTCCAGCAGCTCTGACCACTGTTCCCAGGATCCTGACTCCAGCTCGGGTTTCGTAACTCCGCCCCTCAGCCCTGGCCCCGCCCCCTGACTCCCTTTCCCGTACTCCATCCCTGCAGCACAGAACGCTCTCCCAACCTCCACACCCGCCAAGTCCCAAGGTCACTCACCTTGGGAGCCAGGAACTGAGAAGATTTATTCACTACCCATTTGGGTAAGGAGCCTATGAGGGCAGGAAAGGGTAGTGAGAAGAAAAAGGAAGCAGCAGCGTAGGGATCCAGCCCCCCACAAACACACACACCAGCTTCCTTACTCCAACCTGGGGTTTCCAGGGAGAACACACTCTTCTCCATTGGGAGGGGGCAGAGTGAGGCAAGTCCTGTAAGACTTCATCGACTTCACGCCCTCTTTCCACCTCAGACCAAGGTCCTCAGGCTCAAGTCTGTTACACCTTCTACCTCTACCACCTGACTGCCTCTGCCCTCTGCTGAGTCCAGGGGCTGCATGAAAGAAAACCACAGGGCCAAGGTGATCACAGGCCACACATGAGTTAAAATCCTGGCCAATCAAGCTTCTGCCTCCTGCCTCCCCTCTACTCACACATACCTCCCTTTTCTCATACCCAGTCCCACTATCTTGAATGGCCCTGATGCTCATCCCCTGCTCTGCCTGTCCTTCTAAGCCCCCTGGCGCAGGAAGCCTAGCTGCTGCATGACCTCTTCCAGCCTGGCCCGACCTGGAATCTATGGCCCGATTCTCCACCCGCCTCATCCCCAAGTGTCTGCTCTGCCTCTTGACACCCAAAAAACTCACTCAGTGAGGTGCTGGGGAGCTCTGGGCCTGGGCCAGTGGACCCTCAGTGGTGCTGGGGGGATACCCAGGCGAAGATGCTCAAGAGCCTACCCCTCCTCTAGCCATTCATTCATTCCCTCACTCACTCCACAGTCACTCAGTGGCACCCACCCTGGACCAGCCCTGGGGACCCAGAGAGGAACTCACTGTCTGGGGGAGCCCAACAGTGTGCCAAGTGCTCTGCTAGAGGGGGATGGGCCCAGAGGGCAGGGAGCCAGCAGCTCCTCTGGGTATCAGGGATAGAGGAGGTGAAGCAGCCCTGGAGGGATGAGTAAGGGCAGAGAGGTGTTTTAGGCTGAGGGAAAGGGTTGCTTAGACAAATAGGAAGGTATAAGCTGTGAGAAGGGACTGGGAAACCTGGGGAGGGGCTTAGACTTCACTGTGAGGGCAATGGAAAAATCACAAAAGGATTTTAAGCAGAAGAGAGTCACAAGGAAATAAGTCCTTTGGAAAAAATCTGTATGGACAGAGAGAGTGGCTGAATGTGGAAAGAAATGACAGATTCAGGAGCTATTCAAGAGGTAGAATCAATAATAATTAATGATTTGGGAGCTGACAAGAGGGGACCCCCCACAACCACCATGTTTTGGGCACGAGTGACTAGAGGGAAGAGACTCAGGAGAAGGGACACATTAGGAAGGGAGACAGTTCAGCACTGGACACATTGAGCCTTGGGTCCTAAGAGACATCCTGAGGGACACATCGAGGAGGCCAATGGCCACAGGGACCTGGATCTCAGCAGAGAGACATGTGGTCACCTAGCCACAGAAGCCTGGGGAGTGACTGAGCCCTCCCAAGGGAAAAAGGACTGGGGCCTGGGAAACCCAGACCTCCAGGATAGAAGCCAACAAGACAGAGAGGGAGCAGCCAGTGAGAGGGGAGCAAGTCAGAGCATGGAGGCCTAGGAGTCCAGGAAGAGAGCTGTAAGCTTCGTCTCGGGGCAGTGACTACCGCCTTGATCCTTGCTCTTCCAAACACTGCAAAGTCTCAAACTTTGGCTCAAAGAAAGTTTTGGGTACAGATGCCCCAAAATACAAAACACCTCTTAACAGAGGCCCTTCCGGATCCCAGTAGATCAAATAGATCAAGTCCCATCGCCGTGGTATAGGGAAGGATCCCATGATGGGATTCCAGGGCCAAGCCCTCACCTTTGGGGTCCACCTGGGCCAGGTAGGTGATGACGCAGCTCTTGGGCCCCGTGCTCTGGATGAGGTAGCCCGTCTGGATGGACACGGCTCGGACCAAGTCTTTCCGAGGCGGGTATTTCTGGGGATGGAAGGCACAGGGAGGTGAGACTCAAGGTGTGGGAAAAGGTGGTGCCTTTGTGAGTACTAAACACACACACAGAATTGGTTCACATGCCCTGGCATCCACTCCAGGCCAGGCCTGATATTGGGGTAAGAAGAAAGAGAGGAGTCAGACTAGGTCATCATTACCACTCTAAACTTCCTCTGTTCCCCTCCAGAAAGACCCCAGTTTGGGGTGAGGGTTTATAAGCACACACATGGGTGTGTGCATACACACACACACACACACACACAAGCACACACTCATCCTTTCCCAGGCCACCTGCACTTGCCTGTCCTGCCTGCCATGGAGATCAAAACACTCAGCCTCAGTGAGGGCCAGGGGACCCTATCTCTCACTCCTGTTCCCTTTTTCCCAGCCAGCCCCTCCCACCTACTTGTCCAGAGTGATGGTCCACACTCATCTGCGTAAAAGCCCCAGCAGGGAGACAAGACATTATTCTCACTGTGTAGGCAGGAGGCTTCACGTCTGGACTGAAGTCACAGAGAAGTCTTGGTAGCAGCCAGGGGCCTCTCCCTGGGCTAGGCCTGCCAGCCTAGTCCTAACTGGTACCTTCCCCTGCCCACCCAGCAGGGAAGGCAGGTTGACTCACAGGATGTTTGACTGAGTAGTTCATAATGATGTAATCAGTGCCCATGGGCAGCCAGGAACGGAGGGTGATGACATCACGATTCTTCAGGGGCTTTGGACACCTCCCTGTGGAGGGCAAGGGACAGTTCAGCCAGACCACTGGCCTGCCTGCCTGAAAGGGGGTGGCAAAGCCCAGAGACACAGGGATGCTTGGTTAACTGCCAGCTCCCCCGATCTAAACAAGGACCCCACCCACCAGACCTAATTTCTGGAGCTAGGAAGGAGACAAAACAGCCACTCTCCCTTCCTGCATCCAGCTTCCCCTGCTCCTCACCACCTCACAGAGCCCTCACCTTGCTGGCCTGATCTGTTTGTGTATGTGAATGTGAGTGTAGGAGAAAACAGTGGTATTATTGTGTCTCCATTAAGTGTGGGTAGGCGGGTGAGTAGGTGGCATGTGGCTGTGGGTTTTATACATGACTCTGTGCAAGTGTGTTTGTCCATGCACATGGATTGTGCATGCATGAACATGGGAGTGCATGTGTGTTTGTGAGTACACATTTCTATATACTCAAGTGTCTGGGAGCGGACAAGGATTCAGGGAAGGCAGACCTACATCTCTACACTCAGGTCTCTGAGCAGCCTGGCCCCAAGAGTGACTGTGAGGAGGGAAGCAGGTAGGAAGAGGCTGGGCTGGAGGCCTGGGTAGAGGTGGAGGGGGCTGGGATTGGCGTGCTTGCATCTGCTCACAAGAATAATAGCCCACATCAGCGTTGACTGTCAAGCGAGCAATGTCGAAAGTTTCAATGACGTTGCTGTCCCACTTCTTTCTGTATTCAATGTCATGTAGGACATCGTAGAGTGTCTCTGCTGGCACATCGCGGCACTCCATCCGACACTGCAGACAGACACATGGGTTGTCAGGGTCACACAGGGCTCAAAGCACTAATCAGGGGATAGGAAGGCATGCAGGCAAAGGAGGCAGGGGGAGGAGAAGGAGGACAGGGAGGAACAGCGACCTCTGAAGCCAACATGGACTCACCTCTTGCCATGAGCCCCATCCAGCCCTCCCAGAAGCCACATGTGCCAGACAAAGTTAGCCTCTGCATCTAGACACTATCTCCTCCATCTCAGCCCCCACCAAACCTCCCCATTCGTCCCGGTCTCCTTCTCCAGGAAGTCTTCCTGAATTACCCAGCCGACCTTCTGGACTCCTATACACTGTGCTCTCCTCCTCTTTATCTGTGCCCTCCAGGCCCATGAATTTCATGGGCAGAGGCTCAGTCAATTCAGTAAAGAGCCTGGCATGAGTACATGTTAAATGAAATGAAAGCACAAATGAACAAACGAATGCCTAAATGGATGTCTTTCCCCCATGGTACTTATCACCTGACCATACCATGAGACCTCCTTTCTTTTTTTACACCATCCAACAAAATCTTTGTTTTTGTTTTGTTTTTGACCACACCATGTGGCATGTGGGATCTTATGCCCCCCTTTCAGTGGAACACAGAGTCCTAACCACTGGACCACCAAGGAATTCACCCAGCAAACATCTTTGAATTCTTATTACTTATTAGCCTTGTTCTCAAAGAGTTTTCCAGCTAGGGAGAAAAGAGCAGAGGAAACTTTTTTTAAAAAAATTTAACCCACACAATAACCCTGCCAGATAAGAAATCCAAAGAGGAACTTAAGGCTCAGAGAGGTTAAGGAACTTGCTCACAGTCACCCAGTTGATAAGCAGCAAAGCTGGGGCTGGGACTTCCCTGGTGGTCCAGTGGTTAAGACTCCACCTTCCAATACAAGGGGCACGAGTTCTATCCTTGGTGGGGAACTAAGATCCCACATACCACAGGGTGTGGCCAAAAAGTAAAAAAAAAAAAAAAAAAGCTGGGACTTCACCTAGATCACACGTCTGGAAAACAAATAAAAACAGAACCAGGTTTCATTAGATTTACACTCAGCAAGATGAAACTCAGTCCATATCCTTGTTCTGTGATTTTTTTTTCACCCGAAAGTCCAAACCCCAGGATCAAGTTCCCCTCGGCAAATGGCTGAGTTCTATTGTGTAGCTTAAAAAGGTTTCCCAGAACTGGGTGTTTAGACATTACTTTCTACTAAAAAGTAAATACATGCAACCACATGAGGGACGGGTCACATCGTCTTCCCCCTAATCTTTTTAGGCCTTGGCCCCACTAATGGTGATGAAAGGACAAGGAAGGACACTACCCATTGAGTATTCTAGGCACCAGTGAACTCATCAAGCCCTGGATATGCCTCACCTAACAAAAATACAACAGACAGAGGAACAAGTTAAGTGTCACCACAAGAATACAAGACAAAGCCAGATGATGAGACATTCTGCAGGGCTGCTGGTCTAGTCTTTCTACACATCAGTGTCATAAAGAAGGAACTGAGATTTATAGAACAAATAACCAGATAGAAAGTACGGTCCTGGATTGCATACTGGCTTGGACACAACAGCAAAAAGGACACATTTGGGACAACTGGAGAAATGTAAACATGACCTGAGTATTAATTAGATGTGCTGAAAATTTACTGAAACAAAATTGTGGATATTGCTGCCTGAAGAAAAAGCAAGTTACAGAGTGGATGCATGATATAATCTCACTTTGGGGGAGCGGAAAAAATCTATACACAGAAAAGGCCTGGGAAGCTAAGGTATTAACAGTGGCAGTCTCTAAATGATGAGCATATGATAGTTTTATTTTCTTTTTGCTGTCTATATTTCTAATTTTCTAAAATATATAGTACTGCCTCTTCAATAATGAAAAGAATTCAATAAAAATGTTCCCCAGAGATCCTGAGAGGTGTGCTCACCACCTGCCAGGTACTATCCTAAGTGCTTTCTACGCACTATCACTTTGAGGTATTAGCCTCATTTTAGTTGTGAAAACCGAAGTTTGGGACTTTCCTGGTGGTCCAGTGGTTAAGAATCTGTGCTCCCAACGCAGAGGGGCCTCAATTTGATCCCTGGTCAAGGAACTAGGTCCCACGTGCAAAAATGAAGACTCAAGAGCCTGCATGCCACAGCTAAGACCCAGCACAGCCAAATAAATAAATAATTTTTTTAAAAAAAGGAAAGAAAACTGAAATTGAAGAACAGCTTCAGACTGAAGACTCACTCCCTCCCCACCCTGTTTGCTTTTCTGCTCCACAAGAAGGTATGACTAGATTCAGTCATTTCACCAACTTCAGCTCTGCGCGGAGCACAGAAGAGTCAGAGACGAATCTGAGGCCTGTCCTTCAGAGGCTTCCAGTTGAGAGAGGAGACTAGTGTGGAAATGGGGAGGTGCCCATACCGTCCAAGGGGACACAGAGGAGGTGGTCAGCTGTGTGGGGTGAGATGCGGGGAGTCGGGCTTCACAGAGAAGCTCAGTGTGGAAAGCAGGCATGCAGCAAGAGACCCTGGCAGAGAGGCCAGAGTGGCCTGCAGGTCAGCTGCATGAGCGCCATCTGCTCTAGTGCCCTGTGCTGCAGCCTAATACTCAAAAGGTCCTGCTTCCAGGTCTTCTTGGAGAAATGCTGATCCTGGGACTGGTGGGAGTAAACACAGGAGGAGCCTGGAACGTCTTATTGTGCCAGAGAGTAAAGACAGTGTACTCACAGAATGATAGGGACCTTGCCTAGCAGACGCAGGAGCCAGTGTGAAGGGCTCCCCACTGGTTCCGTGACCAACTCATCAGCATTTGCCAGTTTAGCACTGAAAGTTCTTATCCCAGGAAACCTCTCAGTCCCAGGCAAACCAAGACAGTTGGTCCCCTACCATGGGTGAAAGCTGGGCCAACTCATGTATTAAGGTAAATAATGATCGTAACATTATATTCCACTGATTAAAATAGGAAACCAAAGTATATACAGGTATGAATAAATAAATACATTGAATGTTTAATGAGGAATAGGGTATTTACATAGTTTCAAAGTACCTTCCCATCAAATCAGTAACTTCACTTTGCCTGGCAGATACCACCTTCATCAAGTGATCAAAGGGAATGTCATTAGTGACAAGGCAAGTTGTGACTCAGATGCTTCCTGACAGGATGCAATGAAAAGAATACAGACACCACTTATGTGATATTTCTGCCAAAGATGCATGATCTAAATCTAATCATGAGGAGGACCAGACAAACCCTAAATGAGGGGCTTTTTACAAAATATCTGGTCTCTAAGTGTCAGGGTCACGAAAGTCAAGGAAAGACTCAGGAACTATATCAGACTGAGAGAGACGAATGATATACAAGCAAGTGAATAAATGAATGAGTAAACAGAGCGATGAGAGGGATGGGATGGATAAGACGGCAGAGGCCGGATCTGCATCCTCAGGAGCACCCAGGCAGGTGACTGCTGTGTGGCGGCACGTAGGTCCAGGTGCTGCACCGGACGATCAACACACACACTCACCCTTCACCCCCAACTTCTCCGCTGTGCTGCAAAACAGAAAGCTGAGGCTCGGGAGAGGAAGTAACCTGCCCAAATCATAGAGCAAGAAAGCAGTAAAACTTAAAACCAGATCTTCCAATACTCTTAACCCTCAAGGAGCACTCACGTGTGACTTCTCAGGAAACCAGAACTTCTCTAAACCAAGTTTGAAAGCTGGTTTGGCTTTGCAAGTCCTCAAACGTGTTGTCCCAGGCTATGAGTGTATGAAGAGGGAGTGACAACAGAATTATGCTTTGTAGGTTAGAGTCCACCTGGGAAGTCCTCCTCCCTCAAGCCAGCCTCAGTGCCCCCAGGGCCAGCTGCGCCCATGGCTGGGGGCACACTGAGAGAGGCCCACACTGCCTCTTGTCCCTCTGGATCGCTGTCGTTCAGGACCCGGGGCCTCACTCTGAGACAGCAGGCAGCGGGAGAGCACGCAGAGCACCAGACAGAACAGGCACCAAGCTGAACAGAAACTCTGTGTGATATTTTATCTTTAAGATAAAGAAGGAAACTTCAAAGGTTTCCCAAGCTCATGGTAGATTCCTAGGGAGGAAGGTCGGCTGCAGGGCTTGCTGCGAAGGTGAAAACCCAGGCTGCGGTGGTGGCGCTGCAGGTAAGGAGACCGAGGCAGTTCAGGTGACCAGCCTGGCTCTGGGCCTGCCTCTTTCCACAGCCCCCAGGAGGCTGCGTGGCTGAGCCAAGAGAGGTCAGTTACATCCAGCATCGTTCCTGTGTGCAGCTGCAGCCGCCACATGGGCAAAGTAATTCTAAGAGACTTCTGGAGGGATGGGTGGGGGCAGAGGTGAGTCATCAGAGAGCACCTGGTGGGCAGGGCTGTGACCAGAATCCACAGCCATTGGGCCCCGGGCAAGTCAGTCACTTTGGCTGGACACCTGGGAGCTCCTCCTGGAAACCATAACTGAACTGGAGGCAGTGCCGGAGCTGCTCAACCAGGGAGCAAGCCATGCTTGGCTGCAAAGCTCTTAAGGCCTGGTTTACTGCAGGAAGTCTCACATGCAGCCATTTTACAGCTGAGAAAACTGAGGCCCAGAGGGAGCAGGTGACACCAAAGAAATTTTTAGACTTGGTACCCGCTACACTCCACTCTCACCAGACTCCTTGATGTAGAGAACTGAGATTGCCCAGAACCCCCATGGTCAGAGGGAATGGACAAGTAAGGAAGGCCATCAGGGTGACTTCTGCATGCTTTGAGTCTGGCAATCGCAGGTTCCAATTTCTACTCTTCTCCTTAGGCACGAGATTTAGTTAGTTTGAGTCTTTGTTTCCTCATATGAAAAATGGGCATAATAAAAATACCTGTCTCGTGGGGATGTTGTGATCAAATTAAATGAGATAATATGTGAGACAAAAATGAGCTCCCTGGTAGCTCAAACAGTAGAAAATCTACTTGCGATGCAGGAGATCAGGGTTCAACCTCTGGGTTGGGAAGATCCC